CATTTTTTCCATGTAGACTGTAGCTGAACTATTTTATGCTTACTGCCTCACAGAGGAGTTGTTATCATAAAGTTCTGATGCTAAGAGCTGAATTCTTGACTTTGGATTTCAAAAGTTAAATCATGCTGCTATAAAGACACATGCACACGTATGTTTATTGCAGCACTATTCACAATAGCAAAGACTTGGAATCAACCCAAATGTCCATCAATGACAGATTGGATTAAGAAAATGTGGCACATATACACCATGGAATACTATGCAGCCATAAAAAAGGATGAGTTCATGTCCTTTTTAGGGACATGGATGCAGCTGGAAACCATCATTCTCAGCAAACTAACACAGGAACAGAAAACCAAACACCGCATGGTCTCACTCATAGGTGGGAATTGAACAATGAGATCACTTGGACACAGGAAGGGGAACATCACATACCGGGGTCTATTGTGGGGAGGGGGACGTGGGAAGGGATAGCATTAGGAGATATACCTAATGTAAATGACGAGTTAATGGGTGTAGCACACCAACATGGCACATGTATACATATGTAATAAACCTGCACATTGTGCACATGTACCCTAGAACTTAAAGTATAATAATAATAAAAAAGAAAAAAAAGTTAAGGTCAAGGCCAGCCATTATTTAGAAGAGCTAGAAGAATATGTCATCAGTCAGAGTCAAGCTTTAGATCTGAGAGCAAAGAGACAATATGCCCTGTCCTTCCCATCCTCCATCCTCCCACCAGGGCAATGCCCCAGAACTAATAAGGGCCTAGATACCCCTGAACTTAGGGTATAGGATGAGAAGAAATGGCCTTGTAGTGTGTCTAGACAAAGGACTCTACAGCAACCTCACAGGTTCCCATGGTTTCTACAAGGTAGAAACTAACAGCTGAATTTATTTGACTTCAGATTGGAAGAATAGACTACCTCCTGGATAGTTAAAAGGAGACTGGAATTAGCTGTCAATGAGAACCTGGAAGGAAAAACAGACATGAGCAATCTACATGAATGAAGGATAAATGACTGAGGACCAGAAAGACCAAAGTACGTATATTCCAGCAGATGACAACAGAGGACCAGATGCCACACTCTTCCAAGCCTCATCCTCTCAACACAATTCCAAGGAGAGGAAGGGTAAGCTTCTTTCATTGAAACAAAAGACATTTGTAAAAGAAATTGAATAGTACTGTGAATCATAAAGGAAGGTGTTAATTGCACTGACTTTGTAGTCTGAGGTTCATACTCAATTCATATCCTTTATGTTTGGATTGATCCTCAAATATCTAATAGTGTGTTGTACAAACAGTATGAACTCTCTAGCTATTTGACACATTTATTGACTTCATTCTATGTTTGCTCAACTCTCAGTGGCCATAGCTTTCTGTGCTCTCCAATACGGTAGCCACTAGCCATCTGTGGTTATCGAATATTTGAAATGTGGCTAGTATGGACTGAAATGTGCTATACGTGTAAAATACACACCAGTTTTTGAAGACTTAGCACGAATAACAAGAATGTAAAATGTCACATTAATAGTGTTTATATTTATTGCAAGTTGAAGTGATAATATTTTGGACATATTAGCTTAATAAAAATATACCACTAAAATTACTTTCACATGATTCTTTCCACCTTAAAAAAATATGCCTACTGGGCAATTTAAAATTGTATTATGTGACTTGCATCACTTTTCTATTGGACAATGCTACCTTATATGCTCACTCATGTTGATTTCATTTGCTTTCACCTGAGGAGCCATTATCACTGCTTAATTTGTTCCATGTGCAAGCGGACACTCAATTACTTTATAATGATGATGTCTAACATTTCCTGACAAAGTGTGCTGGAAATTACACAAATTTCTTGTATCTCATTTCTCAATGATAGGACTTGGGAATAATCATTGGGAATGATTGCTCTGTCTGTAATTAGTACAAAAAGGAGGAGATTTTCTTTACAAGAACTAAGACAACATTTTCTTAAAAATGCTTGGTGACTTAAAAGTAAATAAATAAATAATGAACAATTTTTTTCACAAGACAATGAGAACCAGGACAATGAGAAAAAAAAAATCATCCTGAGTGGTTTACTTTGGTTAGATTTATTACCTAATTCATAATGTTATGTAATATGGAGTAACAAAAATAGGACAATTTGAAGAAATTTTACTTATAAAGGTACAGGGAACCACACAGACAGTACAGTAATCTAGAGGTAGTAGCCTCTGAGATTTTGTGCCTAGAACTGAAGTTTGACATTTAGAAAGTTTCTGAGTCCATTTGGGCTGCTATAGTGAAATACCATACATTGACTGGCTTATAAACAACAGAAATTGATTTCTCACGGTTCTGGAGGCTGGGAAGTCTGCATCAAAGTGCCGACAGATTCAGTGTCTGGTAAGAGCCTACTTTCTGATTCACAGATGAAATTGTTCCACTGTGTCCTCACATAGTAGAAGGAGTGAGGGTTCTCTCTCAGGCCTCTATTACTAGGGCACTAATTCCATTCATGAGTGCTCCAACCCTATGACTTCATCACCACCCCAAAGCCCCGCCTCCAAATACCATCACCGTGGGAGTTAGGATTTCAACCTATGAATTTTGAAGGAAGAGAAACAATCAGACCATAGCAGAAAGATGTGACCTTCACTTATGGGTATGACCAGCTTTAGGGAACCCCTTAAGGATAGGAGCAGGAGAATGAACACTCTGACTTCACTTTCCTCTAATTCTCTAATCTCCTATTAGTGTTATCAGTAGCCAAACCCAGTCAGAAACCAGAGGGCATTGGAGCCTTGTTGATATAGTTTATACCGATCAGCATCCCAGAGCAAATAACAGGACAAAGGGAACACTGTACCTATACAAGAGCAAACAGAAAATATATGGCATATTCTGTCTTTTCAGAATCATTTATCATACTGCTAGACAAATAGATCACCTTCTTTCCCTCATCCCATTCTCTCTTAAATAGAAAATTAAATCTTAAAACCTGAATAGAAGACAAAAGTCCACAATCAGCACTCTGTTTCTCACACACTGTGAGCTTTCCTCAGAAGGTATTTTACCCCTATGGCCCAACTCAGCATCTACATATGCTGACGGCTTTAAAATCCATAGCTGTGTGCCCAGGTCTCTTTCCTGCCCTCTAGACGAGCAGATCCAACTGTATGCTAGTTAGCTCCCACAGGATGCCTCACAGGCTTGTCAAACTAGTGTATTCAAGAAAGCACCCACCACTTACTGCATAATATCCTGATAGAGTTGCAATGCCAAGGAGCATGTTTTCTGTTCATTTTCTAAAATGATGACAAAGTTTAGAAGAGGCTGTTTTAATTGTGATTAGGAGCAGCTTATACTAATTGTGGTTATTATAAAGATATGAAAAATCCATATCATCGTCCATGGTTCATACACCAACACATAGCATAGGACTTTTGCCACTTACGATGTCCTCTATGTTAGTCTTAATTTGCTTTCACCTGAATAATTGCACTAGTCAATACATATTGAGTACTTCCTATGTGTCAGGTATTTGTGCTCTTAAATTTCAGTCTCACAAGAACCCAATGATGAAAAGGAAATGGAGGCTTGTAGGGGTTGTCATCCCCAAGGACTCATAGCTGATAAGGCGTGGAGGTGAGTTTTAGATAGCCTAACTCCAGAACGTATATGCATGTCATTCCTCTGCAATACTGAATACAAATCATTCTTACAGTACAGGGAGGAGGGGTTACAAAAGTCACGAACCAGGCGCTCTACTGAGTCTGACACTGAAGATGCTAAGGGTAAGGAAAATGTAATAGGTCTTGAGGAAGCTGGAGAGGAGAGATTTTAAAGTAAAAGTAGCCGAAGATACAGGATATAAGATTTTCAAAAAAATTTTTTTTCTTTTTTAAAAAAACATTAGTTAAGCATGCAGTTCGCTAGGCATTGGGGATAGAAAAGCAATAAGGACAATTTCAATCTAGTGAGAAAGATAGGTAAATACATTATAATAAATTTTAAAATATAGATTTGTATGCAAGGTTCACAGAACATTAGAGAAATTATAGACAGAATTTATTCATTCATTTTATTCATTCAAATGGCATTTCTTGAATACCCACTGCATTATGCTTGAAGCCGGAGAAACAAAAAGGGCAAAGGTAAAGTCATTACCCTGAAGAAACTCACAGTCTAATGAAGATGCTTCTGGAGTGGCAGGCAGGAAGCAAGGATGGAGCTACACGAGCACAGAAGGATTACATAGCCTCGAGTGCTCAGATAATGCCAATTTAGTGTTACCTACGCAAAAAGTTAAGGCTTTGGGTTGGCAACAGTAGAGGATGCTACAGAGGAGTGCAGTGGACAGGTCCAAAGGGCTTGGACTTAACTATGACAACCCAAATTGTTGCTGGGGGAACGCAATGCAAGGGAACATGCATTTTCCTGCAGCATCAGTTTTGTTATGATGTGGAGCACAAAATCATGCTTTTTACTACTTAAATGCGGATATACTGTGAAGAATGCAAAAACATAGGAGTTTCATACAATACGACAGGAAACGAATTTCCACAGCTAGGCTTATGAGTTAGCCAGATAGGACAGGAAACTACAAGAAAATCCCACAGCTGGGCATGCAGACGGCTTTGGCTCTCACCCCTGAAGACTCGGGGGGAGGAGTTCACAGTCTTCAGCTCTCCGGGTATCTAGGGTAAGATAGTTGAGGAACAATGCGTATTAAGTGTGCGAGAAAAGCGTTTAGGAGTTAAGCGCATGGGGTGGAGAGAGGTTAGGGCGCAGGCAACTGGGAACCCGTCATCTTCCCTCTGCTCGCTGGACCTCTTAGTCGAAAAACATCCTCCAACAGGTGCCCCTTTGCCGCCAGAGACAGCGCCTGTAGTTCGTGAGCTGCTCGCTGAACGCCTGGCGGCTGGTTGCCTGGGCAACCCTCTTCGGGGGCTCTTCCGCGACCTCTTACTATTGGTTTAGAAGACGCAGCGTGCGTCTGACGTCTTTGCGCGGCGCGACCAGATTCGGGGGCGGGCCGCGCGGAGCTTTAGTTCCCGGAACGCCGGCGCTTGGGGGCAGTGGCCGCGGCTGTTGGCCCACCGGGTGCCGGGCATAAGCTTCCCGCGGCCCCCGGTGGGGGGCAGTTCGTGTGCTGGTCGCGGCGAGAGAGAGGCGCGGTAGGAACGAGTCCCCAGAGCCATGAACCGCGGGTACGGGTGTCCAGTCCGCGCTGTCGGCCAAGCCGGTTTGCTTCCTGATCTGTGGCTAGGGCCGCCGGCCCCCGTTGCTAAGGACCCTTGAGATCGTGAGCACTTGGAGTGTGCCCCTCCTTTCCTGGGGTAGAGGGTCTGTCGAGAGTATCGTTCGTTAACCTTAATTAAAACTGGTAAACTCCTCCTCCCTCGGCCCATTTAAAAAATCTCTTTTTTCTTTCTTTCTTTCTTTCTTTTTTTTTTTTTTTTCAGTGTCTTCCTCTTTTGCTAACCTCGATAGCATCCTGGCCCTGGACTGGTCTTTAAGTATCTAGAAGTGAGTGTAGGAGGGGTGGCGGGGAAGATGGAAAGTTGATTCTAAGACTCCTAAGCAGATTCTGCGACCCCTAATACTGGCCCTTTGAATTTGTGGTTAAACAAAGGGATTGGGATAAGTGACTATTGGGCTCTGGGTCTTTTAGAATTTGACAGAGCTTTACAAATGGAACATGGTTTCTATAGTGGGGCTCTTACACGTTTGGAACTTTCTAGACCTGGATTAGAAATCAGGAAAAAAATGTGGCCTCTGCTGACTAAGAATTTTTTTTAGTTCAGTGGTCTAAAAGCTGAGTACAGGAGAAAGTATATACAGGGAAAGAAATAGGCTATATCAGCTGTCCAAACAATGATAGGAAGTACACTTTCCTACCATTGACACAGATGTCAGCAGTCCCTTGTAGATAGATGACCTGTAGCAGCCAAGGGAGCTTTAAGGGGAATGTGGGGGCTTCATAGGGTGGTTTGTTTGCTTTCTGGTAGTGACATAGTTTAGTTCCAGGTTAAGTGGATTTATGGATTCTAATATCTATAATTAGAACCTTTATCTTGTTTTGTAAAAGAATGAGCGGTGACCTTGATAATATTTATAACACAAAATAGTTCTTTCTGCTTCGCTTCTTCCCAACACTGCCCCTTTACACAATCCTTCACATGTTATTTAATGGAAAACCACTTGGAAGAGGAGTTACCAAGGATACGATTTATTAAACTTTCTTTCACGAACAACTCATACTCCAGGCTTATCAGTGGTATGCTCCCAGGTGGTTATTTTTAAAAATTGACCACACTTCCAGTTGTCCTTTGGTGTCCCTGGAGGATTGGCTCCAGGACTCCCTCGCTCCCCCCAGTCTCTTTCAGATACCCAAATCCACCCATGTTGAAGTCCCCCAGTCTGCTCTCCGTATCCGTGGTTAGGTCAATCTATAGATGTCGAACCCGCGTATACGGAGAGCCAACTGTAATTTGTCCTTAAGGTAACGGATAAAAAAGTGAAAAAGCAATTGCTTTGGAAAGAAACATACAGAATTTTGAAAGGGAATGTATACATGTTTGCATTACTGTATGTGTATTTATTGCTGAAAATTATATAAGTATATTGTACTTAAAAATTGTCCTGTATACTCAAAACTGTAGAAGCTCAATTTTCTAGCATGTTTAAGACTTTTTCAAATGAGTTTTGGTGACTTTCTGAACTCATTCAAAATATAATGCAACACCTTCCCATTAGTTTGTTACAAGAACAACTTTTTGACGTGAAGGAAGATAGAAATTTAGCTATAAAATTCCATCCAAAACTTCTACTGAATTGGTATAGAAAAATGTGCATCATAATTTGATGTGGCTGCCTATGCAGTTGTTATGTTTGTGGGTACGTATCTTTGCTGTGCTTCGCGTTCATCTGTTGCAGCTGTTACCAATCGATGATCATAAGAAATTGGACTCAGCTGGTCTTCAAATTGATGTAGCCCAAGATGTTAAACCAAATTTTTTAAAAAGGAGAAAACATTTGGTCACACTGTTGTTAATAATAGTAATACTAAAGAACACTTTGTACCCTTGTAAAGAGAATTATAATAATAGCTAAGACTCATGTGGCCCTTACTGTATGCCAACCATTATAGAAATGTTGTTTTACATATATTCGTTTTAGTCTTCGTCAACACTTAAAGAAGTTCCTGTAATTATGCCCAGTTGTGGAGTTGAGGAAACTGATGGGTTTTTTGTTGTTGTTGTTGTTGTTTTCCAACAGAAACTTCTGTTGTTCCCCCTCCAGGAGCTTCTCAAAACAGAAGTCAGGCACAATATTAAATACTTGTTGAATGATCACAGAAGTACGATAGTAGATTAACATATTTGAAGCTTCTCTCAGCTTATTTTAGAATGTTATCTGACAACTTTAATGAGATTTTAATTACCATAGTACTAGAAAATGCCCTGGAGATGAAGGTGAAGTGTGATAACTGGGAAATAAGTCATCTGCTGGTAGTGGGATGTGATAAATGAGATCAATGTATTAAATCAAGGAAATTGAAATTATTCAGTGTGCAGAAGCAAGTTTACATTTAGTTTCTCTTTACATGGTATCAGACTTTAAGCTGGTACATCATGTTTGAGATGTCTGGCTATTTGTCCTCCTCTTGAGGATTTCTAATTAGTTAAGTGGATTAAAAGCATTTCATGTGAGGAATATTTTTAAAAAGTATCAGTGTTTATCCTGAAGAAGAAAAAATGAAGGAGTTAAGAGTTAATGCCATCAAATATTTGAAAAGCTGTCATTTGGAGGTGGAAGAGGACTTTACCTGTGTTGTCGTAAGGGAAGATCTTACACTATACTTGAGAGGCAGTCATTATTAAAGGCATTAAAGCGAGACGTGTGCTAATAGAATAACTAGTTGTCATGGAAGTGAGGGAACACAGTAATCAAGTAGAAATAAGGACACGGGATAGAAATCAGAATGCCATAGAAATATACATTTGAAAAACCAAGATCAGGAAAGGCTTCATGGAAGTTGGGAATGAAGCTTGGCCTAAAAATACCACTAGGCACTAGGGTAGGAGTGTGTGTGTATTCCTTGCTAGAGATACAATTGTAGAAATTGACTGGATTAGCTGGAAGCCTTGGGGTATGAACTAGAGTCCTCCATTAGCAGAAAAAAAGGAACTGTGTAAGGGAAAAGTGAACCAATATTCCGTGGGTGAGTAACTTGAGAGAGAATTTCATTTACTCCCCCAGAAAACCTTGATAGGCTTTTATTTCCCTCTTCAAACAGGTCAGGAAGTCGAGGCTTAGGGAGGTTAAATCTGCCTAAATTCATAAACTTCATAACTGGAAGAACTGAGATGTAGACCCATATTTGAGCCCAAAGCTCGCTCTTTGTCATCACAACATGTAGCATGGAGCATAGGAAATGAAGGAAAAGGAAACAGTGGTGATTCTGGTTTTCAGTATGAGGACCAGAAAACTGGTGGTATCCTGGGCTAACAAGGGATTCATACCTTCAGTGTGACAACTTCGGTTTTAGTTATATTAAATTTAAGGAGCTTGTAATACATTGAGTAGGAGAGTTCATTATGTCACGTGAAAAGTAGAGCTTCATGTGCACATGTTAACATTTGGAACTTTGGAAATAAGCCAGAGAAGATGGAGAGGATGATAGAGGATGTGCCAACCACTCCTATCAGAAATCTAGTCTGTGTTTTCTAATGTGGCCAGAGGATTGGAAGTGAGTTTCTAACAGTTTGACAATTTGAATGGAAAAGAAGTTGACTTTTGTACATCATTTTCTTGGAGATGATTATTTTGCTGTTACTGATACTATTGAAGTTGACATAATTTCACGTTTTCTCATTAGTCTTTTCCAGTATTTTGCTCCATGTCAACTTTTTTGTGTATCTTTTACTGTATTGTATAATTGTATACTCTGTTCTGGTTTGGTCTTTGTATTGATAACAAATGCTCCTCCAAACAAATTTTGAAATCAACTCTTTTTTTTTTTTTTTTTTTAACTGCAGGGGTGAAAGGGAAGCAATGCAGAAATCAGAGGGCTCTGGAGGTACACAGTTGAAAAACAGAGCAAGAGGTACAGAGCTTTGTGTTTTAAGTGAAGAGGCCAAGTTTGTTAATGGCACTTTATGTGTTACAGATGGGTGCAAGGTGAACTTTATTGCTTTTACCTGGTTTTTATTGATGTTCTGTTTTGTCCAGGTGACTATGATCAAAGGACATCATCAAGCACACAGATAAAACACAGGAATGCAGTTCAAGGAAGCAAATCCTCATTGTCAACCAGTTCTCCAGAGTCTGCAAGAAAACTTCATCCTCGACCAAGTGATAAACTGAACCCTAAAACAATTAACCCGGTAGGTCCAAAACTACTCCTAACTCAGTAGATTTTTTAAAGGCATTTCACACAGTATTGAACAATTCTGGATGCTGTCTTGAGTTTTGTCCCTTTGCTAGTTTTGAGCTAATGATGAGGAAGGGCCTCTGGTTATGATGATGAAGTACTGAGATAATCAGTCACATGTGGGAGTGAGTATGGAGGTAAGGAAACACAGAAGTTAACCTGTTTGGGTTATCGCATTGTAGTGCATAGAAAATTGCACTTTAGCTTTAGATTTTATTTGCAGTGTTGTTTTACTTCCCAATGAATAAACTTGTATTCAGTTGCCACAGAATGCTTTTCGTGCTTCCATAGTTGCATAAAGGTCTCTGACTGTTCCTCTGTATTCTGTAAATTAGCTCCACCAGAAATCCTAGTTGTAGTACTAGCCTCCTTTGCCCTTTCCTAACAATTTAATGAGATTTAATAAACATGGGATTTATGCAATAAAAAAAATCAGAAGTGAACACACCTGTGCAACAGCACCAGGTGTTATTTGCCCCGTGCTCAACTTTGATAGGGTGAGATATTAGTGACTTCAGCCTTCGAAGGGGATTGTGAGAGTGGCTGAAGCTCCTGATTGACTTTGATGGTAGGTAGAGTATGGCAGGTACTTAAGGAAGTAAGGGTATAGTGAACTCTCCAAGAGGGAAGGAGTGTCTGGCTTGATAAAAGAAAAGTGAGAAATGTTGGAGCGGCTATGTTCCTTTGCTTCTTTCTGTAATCTCTGCAGTGTCAAGGAAATTGAATACCTGAAGAAGGCCCTAATAATCTTGTTGCTCTCATTTCCTTTGCTTATATTTAGTTGAGGGAGTTTGTGGTGATGCTTCAGTTTTCTTTCTCTAAGAAGTACTTTTTGAATTAGTAATATTTAGTGACCTTAGTCCTAAGTTTTAGTAAAAATTGAGGAAAGTTTTGGGAAATAGTGAAATAATTTGACCTGAGATAAGCATATCTAAGATATGTAAAGGCTACCAATCTAAAACAAATGAGTTGGAAGTCAGAATAATATTTACCTTTGGGCGAAAGGTAGTAGGGATTTGGGAGAGGCAGTGGAGGCGTCTGGTGTGCTGGAAACTTTCAGATTTTTCAACTGTTAATAAACAGGTGTGTTCATGTTATGTGAATTCACTATTGTGATTTATGCACATTAATATTTTAAATATTTGAGTTAAAAAACTTTGAAATGCTAATTCAGTATAGTATGGTATATAACATTAATGCAGAGTTGAACTATAGTCTGAAATTGTTAAAAATTGAATGGTTTAACTTTTCACTTTAGACTTGGTAAAATTTGGTTAAAATCAATAAAAGTAATCCATTCATTAAAAAATTCTGATTTTGTGGGACGTGGAAGATGAAACCATGATTATCTTTAGAACAAAATAGAAAGGCAAAGGAATTGTTTAACATTTCAATCAGAAATGTAGACTCTGTGGGTATTTGGAAAATTTAGGGATTATTTTCTTTTTTTTTTTTTTTTTGAGACGGAGTCTAGCTGTGTCACCCAGGCTGGAGTGCAGTGGCGCGATCTCGGCTCACTGCAAGCTCCGCCTCCCGGGTTTACGCCATTCTCCTGCCTCAGCCTCCGAGTAGCTGGGACTACAGGCGCCCGCCACCACGCCCGGCTAGTTTTTTGTATTTTTAGTAGAGACGGGGTTTCACCATGTTAGCCAGGATGGTCTCGATCTCCTGACCTCGTGATCCACCCGCCTCGGCCTCCCAAAGTGCTGGGATTACAGGCTTGAGCCACCGCGCCCAGCCGGGATTATTTTCATGATCTGTAAGGGCCAAAAAGATCGTTTGCTTGTAGGTAGTAGAAGTAAAATATGTTGAGAGTATAGTACTAATTTGTCTTAATTTTTTCCCCAATGTGTGTAGCACTTTTTTCAAATACATACATCCAGGCATATATTTGTGAGAATCTTCTCCATCTTCTATTCTCTTTTTTCAAATAACTTTCTTACCTAATATGCTTATTACTTGAAAATAATTTTTAAAACTTGTATTTCTTTGTTAGCAGAAATTGTAACTAGTTAAGTGAAACATTCCTCTTGTGAATTGTTACACATAACATGGATTGATTTTTGGAAATGAATCTTTTTTTTTTTTTTTGAGATGGAATCTTGACCTGTTGCCCGGGCTGGAGTGCAGTGGTGCCATCTGGGTTCACTGCAAGCTCTGCCTCCCAGGTTCACGCCATTCGCCTGCCTCCTCAGCCTCCTGTGTAGCTGGGACTACAGGCACCCGCCACCATGCCTGGCTAATTTTTTGTGTTTTTAGTAGAGATGGGATTTCACCATGTTAGCCAGGATGGTCTCTATCTCCTGACCTCGTGATCCACCCGCCTCAGCCTCCCAAAGTGCTGGGATTACAGGCTTGAGCCACTGCGCCTGGCCAGAAATGAATCTTTTATTATAATTTAACTTGAATGAATTTTCTCCTGTGTGCTTTTACTCAAAACTCATGCTTTTCCAAAGGAGAAAACAGCTGATTCTAAATTTTTTAAGGACATTTTAAAACTACCACTGTGTGTGACTTAAAAAACATTATGTTGTTATGTCTTTAAAACAAGTCAATTTATATCTTGTAATTTAGACAACTATTTTTTCATTTGATTATATATTAAAAGTACCATGTGATAAAATATTTACTTTTTGTTCCTAAATCCTCTTTAAGTCTCTTATCAATTATATTGAAATTATTTTTGCTGTGATTGTTTGATTGTTGAGATTAACCATCCCTTAAATCATCTTTGAGAGTAGGTATAAAATCAATCTATTCAGATATAGCAAAACTGAAAGGTTATGAAGTTATATATCTAAGAAAACACATCCAGGCATATATTTGTGAGAATCTTCTCCATCTTCAATTCTTTCCCTCCTGCTCCGTGTAATCCTTTGTTTTTTATAGAAGCCTAAAGCCAGTTTGGAGAAATGTGACTACCTACACCATCTGTATTTGGCTGGAGGACAAAGTAGGAGATGTGCAGGAGGCAAAAAACAAATATACTTTTCCTGTACTTAACACCCCTTCTCCGTAGAGTCCTCACCTTGAAGGGTCACAGTGGGAAGAGGGTAGAAAGAACTATCAATATGTGGTTTCAGCCGCCTTCAAGCCTTCTGAATCGTTAGGGAAAAAAGATGTTCAAAGTATAGTTGTATTCTAATAGTGAGAGAATTGACAATTTTTCTCAATTGTGTTGCTGGGTAGAAATGGTACACTTTGATACCAGCTTGGTGGTTTGAAAAGCAAGATGGCTGTGTGCGTCTGACCTCAGAAGTATGGGTGATAGTAATATTTTCATTTTTTATTTTAGTTTGGTGAACAGTCACGAGTGCCTTCTGCGTTTGCAGCTATTTACTCCAAAGGAGGTATTCCTTGCAGGTAAAATCAATATGATTTATAACTGACCAAATTATTCAAAATCATTGAGTAAAATCAGTACAGTATTTAGTTTAAATGTATTGTAAGTTTTATTTACTAGTGAGGTTGAAATAAAGGTGACTGTATTCACACTTTCTTTTGGACTGTTATAGATCCCTGGATGTTGTTGAAGATAACCATTTCAATTCCAAAATACAGTTATTGGGATATATGATAAACCATCAATTAGTTTAAGAAATTTACATAAACCCTTTTTCTGAAATAAGCAATTTAAGCTTTCACAGGCTTGGGCAAGTTGCAAATTAAAAAATCCTATCTTGTTGGTAAAATGAAAGTTGTCAATTTAATGAAATTGTTTCTGTTTCATAATATATACATATGGCCGTTTTTGCTTCCTTTTGGATATAATTCTTGCCGCCTTTCTAGACAGATGTCAGAACTATTTTTTTAAAAATACAGACTGGATAATATATCATTTTATGATTTATTTCTATAAAGCATTTATTTCTTCAGAGTACATCCAGTTTTAGCCTGTTCTAGATGATAGAAAATTTTATTTTGATTGTGGAAAGGATTACAACATTTATTTATTTTTGTTCCAAAGTTCAAGAAATCTAGTTTTTTAATGGTATTTTCAGATTTAGAGTGAAAAATAAGCTCAAGAAATACTCTTCAGTTTATTGTTATTTCATATTTAGATTTTGATTTGAAACCCTATTTAAAGGTTCTTAACTCTCTACTCCCCACCCCTCAACAATTTATTGTTGCAAAAATGTAAAAACAATTTTACAGAGACGTCTTGCTCTTATGAAAATAAGCCTAAAGGAGTCAAGAAGTTGAGAACATTACAGAGGAGTTCAGAGAAGCATTTAGGTTGATGGATTAAGTTCACTATCATGATTGTGATGATAGTTCCTTGAGTGTATTTGTACATAAAAACATACCAAATTGTATACGATAAATATGTGCAGTTTATTGCAAATCAGTTATTCCTCAATAAAGGCTGTAATCCCAGCACTTTGGGAGGCCAAGGCAGGTGGATCACCTGAGGTCAGGAGTTCGAGACCAGCCTGACCAACATGGAGGAACCCCCCACTACTAAAAAAAAAAAGGCAAGCCGGGCGTGGTGGCACATGCCTGTAATCCCAGCTACTCAGGAGGCTGAGGCAGGAGAATTGCTTGAACCTGGGAGGCAGAGGTTGCATTGAGCCAAGATTGCGCCATTGCACTTGAGCCTGGGCAACAAGAGTGAAACTCCATCTCAAAAACAAAACAAAGCAAAACAAACAAACAAACAAACAAAAAACAGTTAAAAGAGGCAGAAACCCTAATTCAGGGGCCACCACTTTGTAACCCTGAATGGGCCATTTTACCTTCCTGGCCTCAGTTTTCTTCTCTTTAACAGAGAGAAAACTTGGTTTTGCCTTCAGGTTGTTAGTGTTAGGATTACATGATCTATATCTGAAAAAGAACGTTCCTTGTAAAACATTTTTAGTAATTACTACATTTTGTTTGCATTTTTTCATTTCTGTAGATTACCTACTGTGTCATATTACCGAAAGATATCACCTGGAACATTAGCGTTAAGATTCACAGACAGCAACATGCTTAAGCACCAAAACTGTAACCTTAACACATGTGGGGTCACTTTTGCTGAAAGACTAGGATTTTGTAGGATTATTGACATTGCTTTGTAAAATGTCCTTGTTCTAATGTTGTTATGCTCTATGTTAGATGACACCTGCTTAATATAGAATTATATTTTTCTTGTTGCATTCACTGACTTTTATATTTTAGATTGGTACATGGTTCAGTGAAACACAGATTACAGTGGGAATGTCCTCCTGAAAGTCTTTCATTTGATCCACTTCTTATTACTTTAGCCGAGGTAAATATGCTATCTCTTCTATTAGAAAAAAAATGTTAACAATTGCATTAAATGTTACTTTGTAGCTTCTCAGTAAATTTCATTCTGTGCTTTTGAAAAAGGAAGCACACGATAGTCATTGAAATACCACACCCCCTTAGGAAATAATTATGATTCTTACATAGTTATTTGAAATTGATTAATCAGCTTTGTAAACATGGAATTAGTCTGCATAGGGATTTATAGATAACTGGATGAAATATTGGTACTTATTTAAAAAAATACGTGGACTCATAATGAGGAGAGAGATTTTTTTGGTGCTAGCGAAATCAGGAAAACATCCGGGATTAAACTGAAAACTGTGCCAGATAGTGGTAAGTGGTTCTGTGTACAACCAATTGTGTTGACATGATGTGTTTCTTAGGGAATTGATACTACCCACCTAAATGTTCTTTTGGAGAACACTCCAGCTTTCTGCTTTATTTGTACATTTCCAGTACAATATCATGGAGGTAGTTCTATAGACTATTTAAAAAAAACTTGATAGCTTTCTTTATATAATTTAACATTTGTGTCAGGAAAAATGTTGGTGGAGTCTTAGCTTCAAGTGAATCATTGCTGTCTTCTATGAATTTTATTCCTAGAGTTAGAAGTAGAGCAATGAATTAACCAGCTGTCTTGTATTTAAATTTTAATTACTTGCCTTGTTGAAAGTTAAGGATCATTTTGTTGTCATCAGTAAGAAACAAATGATTCAAGTTTGGGTGATATTAGTAATAAAACACCTGAGTTCTTTCACGGATAGTTTTACTTAGATTAGTTACTGCTGTGTAACTTACTCTGTAAACATGGCAGTGCCTTTTTAGGTTAATATCATTTGCCTTTCCTATAAAACCAGTGGGGAGGACCAAGTGGGAGCAGAACAGAAAAAAGTAATTTTTCCAATTGAGATTCCTTAATTAAAATGAAACATCAAAGTCTCTAGTTCCTCCTTTAATTTTCCAAATATGTTTACTCTTTTAAGAGTAACCAGTTACTAGCAAAAACTGTAAGTTTTTGTTTTTCTTAATTTATTGCTCAGTATTACAAGTAGTGTATTTTTACAGGTAGCCTATTTTGAAATTGAGTTCTGAAGTTGGCATTAAAGGTTAGGCTGGGTACTGTGGCTCATGTGTGTAATCCCAGCACTTTAGGAGGCCAAGGCGGGAGGATCAATTGAGCCCAGAAGTTTGAGACCAGTTTGAGCAACATAGGGAGACCCTGTTTCTACAAAAGAAAAAAAATCACATTAACCAGGCACAGTAGAGTGAGATGCTCTCTCAAACACACACACACACACACACACACACACACACAAAATTTGTGATGTTTCCTTAGTTCTTATTTAAACCTTAAGCCTTTTTTACCGGGTAGCAAACCATGTTTTTTTTTTTTAGACTAATCAAAACTGGTGATGGCTTTGAAAGTGTACTGTAGCTAATCACATTGTATAGGGAGTGCTTTAATTTGGGATATCTTTAAAGGGACTCTAACTTCTGCTTAAAGTCAGCGTTTTACATACCTATTGTCCAAATGTCAATGCTTTTCCTTCTGTATTGAGTAGATGTTTATCTTTCTCCTGGCCTCATTTACTAACAGATAAGTAGTGACAGAAGAACCATGGCTGAAATCCACTTCAACTTTTAATCTGAGAGTTATTATCTCTAAAATGAATAGGATACAGGACACTGCTAAGATGATAGAACCTGTGATCCAAAATGATGCCCATGTGCTTGGCAGGATGGTTTTCAAAAGCATGACACCTTTGAGGAAGGGAAATGTTTGATTACTATTTGGAAGCAGATATTTAGATCTGAAGGACAAATTAGTTGAAAATTAGTATTTCTAAGCATGATTTTGCAGCTGATTATATTTATTCACTTCATAGATAATTAGTCAAACTGAAGGAGTTTACTGTTGATTTTGTTTGTTTTGCTTTATCATTTTGAAAAAAGTCAGATGGCCCTTTTATCTTGACTCACTGTGATTGGTTAAATCATAAGAATCCTAGCTAATTGTTTCTAATGCATTTAGGGTGAAAGGCATAGTGAGATATCTACAGTTTTTAAAAATTTTCATACTGCATTTCAGTATTACAAATGATGTTTAAAATCTTAACATGCCTTTGAAATGCATATAGTATAATACTTGCTTTCTAAATATGTTAATATAAAATACTTAAATATGGAGGAAATTTATTTTAGAAACTTATTAAGTCATAAAATCACTAAATGTAGTGGGTCTCATAGCCATGCATTCATAAAGGAGTGGTTATAAACAGACTAATATGCTCTGCTTTCAGAAAGTGTTTGAGTGTACGTAACAAAATGTTTTTATTATCCTAGTGAATTTCCCTTCTTTTTTCTGTATTTTCATTTACCTTTCCTTTTCCTCCTTCCATTTCCTGCTTTTTCCTTCCTCCCTATTTTCTCTTTCTTTTTATATTTTTTCTTGCCTCCCTTGTTTTTCATTTCATTTCTTTTCCTTTTTCTTATTTTTTTCTTTTTCTTCTCCCTTCCTTCCCTTCTGTGGGTAGAGATTACTCCTGTCTCCTGTACGGCTGACCCTTCCTATCCATGGGTTCCACATCTAGGGTTTCAACCAGCTGCAGATCGAAACTATTAAAAAAAAATACAGTGCAACAATAAAAAATACAAATAAAACAATACAATATAAAAATTATTTATGAAGCATTTCCATTGTAATAGGTTTATAAGTAGTCTAGAGATGATTTAAAGTATGTGGGAGTATGTGCACATAGTATGCTATTTTATATGAAGAACTTTAGTATCCACAGGTTTTGGTATTCATTGGGGTCCTGGAACCAGTCTCCCTTGGGATACCAAGGGACCCTTTGTCCCACAGTTTCTCAGTGTAACTGAAATTGTAACTGCTGAAATTGTAATTATGATTAGGAAAACAAGAATGAAACTTGATTTTTGTTTAAGCAAGTAAAGACTCAGTTTTTCTGTTAATAGCATAATGGGTAGTAAATCACGTTTCCTCTTGGTCTTTGGCAGGGTCTGAGAGAAACCAAGCATCCATACACCTTTGTGTCAAAGGAGGGTTTTAGAGAATTACTTTTGGTCAGAGGTGCTTCTGAAAAAGCTGTTCCTTTGCTACCTAGACTGATTCCTGTGCTAAAGGCAGCTCTGGTATGTCATTTATTTCATTGTGCTTTATAGTTGAAAACATATGATAGAAAGCTGTAATATATTTAGAATATTGTGTGTCTTTTTTCCTCCAAATTATATGCAAATTAGTTCTTTATCTGTGATTTTGACATATTTGCAGAATTAGGCAACTGTTACTCAGGGCCAGATAACTACATACTTGAAGACATCTTTAGAGGATGTACTAAAGGTAAAAAGGGATATTTTAAGTAATTAGAGGCAGTAATGAACCTCAAATCAGTCTTTCTGTGTGCTAGATATATTTTAGTTAATGCTTCAGTCAGATGGAAAATTTGCTTTTTGCTTCTAGATGTCCTGTGTTGAAGGTTATTTTTAAAATTCTAGGTTTTGTTGACTATCTTCTGATTTTAGATGTTTAATCTTACCCTTTTCTCTACTTGCTTGCCATTTTGTCTAATCTATCTTTCCTTTTCTCCTGTCTTCCCTGATGCCCCTACATCCCCAACTTACCAACCTTACAGGTCCATTTGGATGATGAAGTGTTTGAAAGAGGATTGAATGCCCTAGTTCAGCTAAGTGTTGTTGTTGGTCCTTCTCTAAACGACCATCTGAAGCATTTGCTTACAAGCGTAAGTACTGCAGAGATTAGATAATCATTGGCTGTATGTATCACGCACCATCCATATCTCTTCATGATTTAACAACTTCAAATCTTTAACTCAAAACCTTAAAAATCTCATCATCCTTAACAAAAAATATAGAACTCATTCATAAAACATTTTACTAATGGACAGTATTAGTTTTATTTTTTTTAAAATGGAAAACAGCTACATGAGCAGAGTTTAGGGTTATAATAAAAAGTAAACCAGCCAGGCTTGGTGGCTCACACCTGTAATCCTAGCACTTTGGAGGCGGAGGTGGGTGGATTGCCTGAGCTCAGGAGTTTCAGACCAGCCTGGGCAACATGGTGAAACCCCATCTCTACTAGAATACAAAATGTTTGCCAAGTGTGGTGGCATGCGCCTGTAGTCCCAGCTTCAGGAGGCTGAAGAAGGAGAATTGCTTGAACGTGGGTGGTGGAGGTTATAGTGAGACAAGATTGTGCCACTGCACTCCAGCCTTGGTGACAGAGCGAGACTTGGGCAAAAAAACAAACCAACCACAAAAGTTGAATGGATAAAAGCTAATGAACAGTAAGATGGTATTATGTTCATGTTGAATAACTATATAACTATGAATTATAAGCAGTGCTCATACACTGTCTTGTGTAATCATATATTACCAAATACGTTTAAGTATTTTTGGTTTTCATTGTGATGTTTTAGTGAATCTGTAAATTGCATTCAGAAAGAGACTTTTTCCTGATATGTGTAACTTTAGTCCTTACTATAAATATTTACTGGGACCCTGTGCAGCTCCTAAGGTTCCCAAGACCACTCTTAGGTTTGATGATTTGCCAGAACGATCCATGGAACTCAGGAGCTCTTATTCACTGTTACGGTTTCTTACAACAAAAAAAAAGATTAAAAGCAGCATAGGTAAGAGGCACATAGGGCAGGTCCAAGAGATACTGGGCATGGAGTTTTCAGTTTTCTTCTCCTAGTGGAGTTGTTCATGCAGTGTTTACTTCTTCCAGCAACAATGTGTGGCAACGTGCATGGAGTATTGCCAACTAGAGAAGCTCACCTGAGCCTTAGTGTCTAGGATTTTTATTGGTGTCTGTCATGCAGGCAAGATGTGTGGTTGACATTAGTCTACACCCTCTCTAGAAGTGGAACTAATACCCTGTGAACCAAAGTTCTCTTCATAAGTCACATTGTATAGACTACCTAGTGTTGCCCGAAACTCCCATGTTGACAAGGATACCCTATCTGGCAGGACATTCCAAGAGCTTAGAGGTTATCATTCAAGAGCTAGGGGCAAGGGCCAAACATTAGGCAAGGGACATACATACCGATAGAAAGATTAACGTCTTAGGTAGGACCTCCCTGTCTGCGTTCTTCTGTATTTCACAGCTGAGGTATGATTTTGATCTTGGGTCCACTGTTTTTTCTTGGATCCATCCATATAAGAGATCCTAGAACTATATTTTTAACTTCTTATTCCACAAATAGTGTAATACATACCAGGAACCACCTGGTTAACACTGTAAGAAGTAGGGGCGATGGTGACTATCAGGATAGATATGCTCATAAGTGATAGATGAAATTCCATGAGGTTTCAGGTGAGGAGAAGACATAGTGGGAATAGACTCTCAAGTCTTGACATATGAGGAGTCTTAGGACAGAAGAAAGAGAATCTTGGCAGATACCTGTAAGCTTTATGTCAGGGGGTGTGGCTGACCAACTACGGGAATTTCACACTAGTGTACAAAGTGATTCATTCAAATATTCAGTAGTTTAATAATAATCTCTTGCACTCTGCTGTCCTGTTTTGTGCCAGGTGTGCCAAGCGTTGAGAATATAATCCTGAGCAGAAACAGGCATGCTCTCAGCCCTTGTGGAGATTGTTGGTTTTGATTTTGTTTTTTGTGTTTGTTTTTTGCAGGTGGGTGGGGGATGTAGAAATAAGCAGCAAGGACATCTGCTGAGAATATTGGGATGGAGTCAAGGGGAAGTGATATGTAGAGGAAAGGAATCACACTGGATCCTTCCTCAAAGTCAGTCAAGCAAGGCTTCCTAAATAGCTTCTCAGTCCCACCTCCAGTGGCAGAAAAGGCCAGATTAACAATTGTATACATTTGTTTTGTTTTTTAATCTTTCTGGGTCAGTGGCATTTATCTTTGGTCACTTGGATTCCTCCTCAGAGCTCTCATTTTCCTAGACAAGGACTGACTGAAAGGTTATCTAGCTTTCCTAGGCTGCCAGCATTTTGGGAAGACCTAGACACCACCCTGACCATCAGATCCTGGTATTATATAAAGAGCTCTAGAAATAGGTTGTGTGAGGGTTAGTTCCTGGTCTGTTACCACTCACTATGAGACAGACACCACTGAGGATGTCATTGAGTTGCTGTCGGACCCCCTTCGTCCCTCACCCCCATCTTCCATACCTTTCAGCCTCAAAGCTTTCTTTTTCATCTGGTGTATAGACTTCTACATGCGATGCTTATTGGAAGAAAGGGTATTCTTCTAGAAGAAATTTTTCAGAACCAGTTACTGAACCCCTATATACAACTCATTTTTTCCTCTATGCAAAATAAACTATACCTTTTTTTTTTTTTTTGAGACGGAGTCTCGCTCTGTCGCCCAGGCTGGAGTGCAGTGGCGCAATCTCGGCTCACTGCAAGCTCCGCCTTCCGGGTTCACGCCATTCTCCTGCCTCAGCCTCCCGAGTAGCTGGGACTACAGGCGCCCGCCACTGCGCCCGGCTAATTTTTTCTATTTTTAGTAGAGACGGGGTTTCACCATGGTCTCGATCTCCTGACCTTGTGATCCCTGAGCTGCAAATGTATGGTACTTTAAAGAGGGAATAAATCACCTGAAAATCTTGCTTAAAATGCAGAATCTGGGCTTCTGCCCTGGGATTCTGGTTAAGTATGGCATGAGACCCAAGAATCTGCATTTTTAAACAGCATCTCAAGTGATTCTGATGCTGATGGCCGCTGGATCTGCCTATTAACCTCTGTGCTATACAGGGTGTATACAGATTCAGTAGGGTAATGCAGTCTGAAGAAAGCAACTGGAAGACTGGAGAAGGACCCTCTCCATCCCCAGGGTGTTCACTATTACTAAATTACTCATGTAAATCCTCTGTCCTTTGTCCTCTCTTCCCTTTTTATTGCGGGAAAATGTGTGCTTTAGAGGCAAAGCTTTCCATCATGGTCCTCCATGCTCTTGCAGATTACAAAATCGCAAAGTACGCTATTTTATAGAAAACTTCAGATAGCATACTGTAGCAGATTTTATAGGATTGGTTTTACTTGAAATAATGTAAATTGTTTTTTAAAACAAATACAGAGGTTCCTATAATGTAAATTTCAATGAGATGCTTCCTAAGAGAAGCCTTGAAATCTAAAACAAGGGGTGCTCCTGAAGATTTACTTATGCATATGGTGAACATTGTTAAGTTTAAAGTCATTTCGTTTCCCCCTAATCTTACTTTAAAAGCTTTCCAAGAGATTAATGGACAAGAAATTCAAAGAGCCAATCACCAGTGCATTACAAAAGCTAGAGCAACATGGCGGAAGTGTAAGTAGAATATTATTTTTTTTTTTTTTTAACTTTTAGGCATATTATTAAATTGACTATATATTTAACATATACTGTCTCATTTCAGCCATAGGTAACTATGTGAAATTGATACTGTTATTTTCCTTTTAGAACTCAGAGTTGCTGTCTCTAGGTCAAGCCCGGCCACTCAGACCAGACTCAGATTGAATAAATGTGGGGCTTGTATACTTGCACAGTGCTTAATATGGCATTGCATGTGGCACATTGGTACAGTTTTTTTTCTTTAAAGTATTTTCAGTGGTTTAGTTTTGATCATTGAAAAGTTCAGAAAACCAAATGATTAACTTAGCTCATTGAGGAAAAATACTTTTTTCTTTTTCATTTGCTGTCTTTCTGACTCAGACGTCCAGATGATTGCACTATTGGTCTGTAAGTGCGTGCATACCACATAGGTGTACACACACACACACACACACACAGACACATGCACACACAGTGCTGGAATAGTTTAATTGGTTATTCTAACTTTTCAAGGTACAAAAATATGGAGGATTTCATAACTACATGATGTCAAATTACTAGACTAATTGAACTTTCAGCATTTGAAGGAAGCATTCAGATAATCTCATCTTAGAAATATTTCCATAAAAGCAGTCCTTGCTTGTGGGAATTTTGTTTAATCAGATCTTAATGATAGAATTACATGTGACTATCTTAACATTGCATAACTTAGTTCCATTCTAGGTACTTCTGAAGGAATTAGCTATGAGAAAATTTGCCTGATCATGTACAATTTTTAAAATGACAGACATAAAGCTGTAGCGAAATTACCTCATTTGACCAATTTCAATGAGTTGTTTGATTGATTGTATTCTTTCCATGATGGATGCCTAGAATACAATTTACAAGAGGAAGTAAGTCCCAAAGCCTACTAGATAATGAATTTCTTTGTTGTGTTTGGGTCCTAGGCAGAGAATTAGCATTTGGACACCTTGAGGAGATGTGCAGAACCTTCCCCTAGCTAATCGCATGTCTCCTCTGCAGCAAGGAAATTCTTGCTTGCTCTTCTGAGAATTTAAATGCAAAATATATTTCTCCTTTCTTCTTCTGTGGAGTGGAAGTGAACAAATGCTAAATAATGATGCCACAGCTTTTCAGTGGGAAACCCTCCCTAGGTAGTTTTCCATATCCTGTGGGCCAGTATGGGAAATGGGACAAGTAGAAAGGGACAGGCCAAGCATGTTAGATTTTGTGGTGGGAGTGGAGGGGGTGTGGAGGAGGAGATGGTATGCATAATAATAAAGTTTAGAAACAACACATTAAGATTTGGAAGGGGAACACAGAGGTGTACTTGAGCAATCCAGGATCCCAGAAATATCAAATTCTTTTTTTACTACTCCATCTTACTAGCTTTGAATGTTGCTAATACAGAATTTTTAAAAAGATTTTGTAGTTAATTACTTATTTTCTTCTGACTTATCTTGTTTTCTCGTTATGTCCTACATAATATTTTAATAATAGATGTAATTATTGTAATAGAAAATTTTCTATTGCAATTACATGCCAAAGACTTTCTCTTGGCTTAATTATTATTGTGCTAGCCTCTATTACTTTGTAATCTTTCATGAAATTAATGCTTTTTTTTCTCTTCTGAGAGTGTAAAAGCTTACATATCTCTTTCTTTAAATATTAGAAATAAGTCTTTAAAAATGAGTGTTCTTAGTTGTGGTTTCTCATTTCTTAGGACTTGTGTATATCAATGATGGAACTATTCAACTTCTGGGTACAGGAAAATATCTGTTACAGATAGTCACAGTGTTACTTTCTTAGAACTGATCTGCCTTGAATTTGAAATCAGTTCATTCTTAGCCTGATTTGTTTTTTTTTCCTAAGTGAAATGCATATTTATTTTGGGCAAGGCACAACACAAATCCTGATCTTTATCGATTGTTTGGGAACTCATTACATGGCAGGTACTCTGCAGAGTACTTTTTAGACATGGAACTCATTTACTCTTCCTAGTCATCAGAGGGAGATTCTATTGTTATCTCCCTCTAAAGATCAAGAAACTTAGGCACAGAGAACTAATTAGTCCAGGTTTGACAAATAAGTGACCAGTAGATGCTGAATTCAGATACTGGTAGTCTGGCTTCTAACTACTTCTCTAGTTAGATACTTCAAAAAAAAAAAAAAAGGAAGAAAGACATAGCCTATATTTTATTTAACACAGCGAAAAGTCCTTCTTATTTCATCATTTTGTTCTTACTCCCTTTCTTTTGTTTTGAGTTTTGGATACTTTCTAGGCGTATTCCTGCAAATACAATACCTGTTAGGGGAAGTTTGCATGATACTAATGATGCTTTCTAGGCGTATTCCTGCAAATACAATACCTGTTAGGGGAAGTCTGCATGATACTAATGAGGCTCAACTTTTTTCTGTTGACAGGGAAGCCTTAGCATCATCAAATCTAAAATTCCAACGTACTGCTCCATGTGCTGTTGAAGAAGGGAGCCAACAAAAATTGTTTTTTCTAGCTGGTGACGTGTCAAACACTGACTGTGGGTCCTCATGGAACCTTTATTCCATGTATTTTATTCTTTTGTAAATCACAGCCACCATTCATTATTTACTAGGTTAAGATGAATATACACTGAATCAAAGTTATTCAGCAACAAAAGAGAACAGTTACTAATGGAAAGTTACTAAAATAAGTTCTGTAAGAGGACAATTTTCTGAGGTTTATTTTTTTTATTTTTATTATTTGTGCAAAGAACTATTATTGAGTTGGCAAGATAAGATGCATTTGTATTTTCTGGTGCCTTTTTATTGATAACACTTTTTTGGCAAACAATTTGTAGCTGTGCCCTTAGTTTTATAGATAGTTTGCCGTTTCTTGGGTTTAATATTTAACAAGACCGTAGAAATTTAAAATAGTGGACAAATGTTTGTGAATACACTTTTTAAAAATTGTTTTAAAAGATAGAAGGGATCTTGCTTTGTTGCCAGACTGCAGTGCAGTCGCATGATCATAGCTCACTGCAAGCCTCAAATTTTAGTGCACAGATGATCCTTTCATCTCAGCCTCCCGATTAGCTGGGACTACATGGTGGCACATGCCACCATGCCTGGCTAATTTTAAAATTTGCTTGTAGAGATGGGATCTCACTCTGTTGTCTAGGCTGGTCTCAATTCTGGCCAGTGATCCTCCCACAATGGACTTCCAAAGTGCTGGGATTACAAGTGTGAGCCACCATGCCTGGCCCCATGAATACACTATTAATTATTGTTTGTAAATATGTATTGTATAATGTACAATGCTTGGAAAATTTTTTCAGAGTATTCTAGAATAGTTTAAGAAATTTTTTCTAATTCTGTAAATTCTATTACAAGTATGTTGTTTATTACAACTCATTACAACTACCTAAATTTTAGGTGTTAACTCTATTTAAGTAAATATTATTTTTGCATTTCATAGCCAGAAAATACTGATGTTCACATAAGGATATTCAGCAATTAAAATGTTAAAACTTGTACATGCATTCATGGATTTTGTTGTGCTTATATTTAGCAATTTTTAAGAAGCTTTTAAAACTTAATTTAGACATAGTTCAGAATTTTGATGTAATAGAAGCGATTCCTTCTGCAAGAGAGGAGCAGAGGAGAGGAAGAGAAATGAAAAACAAGAATAAGACCTTCTATCTCATGAGCAAAAGGAGAGGCCATAGAGATTTCTGTAGCCACACCAAATCCAAAGCATGAAAGGGATGGAAAGGAAAGATGGGTCTTGCGGAGCAGCAGTTTTGCATCTCAGCAGCTTTGCAGAATGCACTTTCCTTGCTCTGTTCCCCGAACACCTGGAGTGACCTCTACGATTCTCATTTCAGGTATAATCTCACAACTGTAATTTGAAAGAGTACAAGTAATTTCTGAGGATTCTTAATGTAGAAATGCCCACCCTGCCTCAGAGCTTGTCCTTCCTGAGCCCTTTGTCTAGCATACTTTTTCCTCTGGTCTCTACTCACTTGTCACATCCTCTGATCATACTAGCTACAACAGCTGCCTGCCTGCTGGCCTTGCTTTTACTTGTTTTCATTGCATTTAGGACCACCCAGAGCTATCTGCGATCTAGAAAATAGTATAAGATTTAGTTTTAAATCTAATAATTACAAAAAATTCTTGGAAAAGACCTATAATATAGACAGTAGAGTTATAAACATTTTATTTTGCTTTTATTTTTTCTTTTTGAAATACAAAATGTGCACATTGAGTTTACACAAACACGCGATGGCAAATTTCAGTGTACATGTATTGTACTACTCTTAATTTCTACACTGGTGATAGCAAGGCAGCTTTCAACATCCTATCTCTACACCAGAATAGATACCTGATTTATTGTTGCAAAGACAGTTGCAAATTTCCTCCTTCTGTAGCCTCTTGGTCTTTGTGAAATTTCTACAAAACAGGGACGATGTGTGTGTCTTTAGTAATGTGGCAATTTTACAGTTTTGGCTGAGATGATTAAAAATAATCTGAATTGTTGGAATTTTATGATGCACTAAATCATATTGTAATCTGGATTAGTTGTTGAGCACTTATTTTCTACTGAATCTTGGTAGTAGTTGTCAATGTAATGGAACCACTGGTGCTTTCAAAGTGAATTTTGCTTGCTGTTTGTTTGTTCCTAGTAGACAGTGGGGTAGTCAAGGTTTCTTTGTCCCTGAATGGCTTGTAATATAAACATGCTGTAAGGAAGTCAGGGGAAAGAGGACAGATTTGGCCTTTAATGCTGTTAGGATTACTTGTTATTAAGCATTAACATATACTGGAGGATAGATATCCTGACCCTTTGCATATGTCTGTAAACATCCTTGTTTTGTTTGATGCCGTCTTAAACTTCCACTTGATGATATAATGGAAAACAGCCTGTAAGATTAAACAAATCCAAAATTATATATAGTATATAGGCTTTGGCTATAATGTATGATGGAAAATTAAATGCTTATTAAGTTTCATTAGGCATATGCTGATATCTGATGATAAACTTTTAAATGTTTAAAAATACCAGATAAAATTAATTTCTAATAGAAGGTGGGAAGGAAGGCCATAGAAACTGGAACTATGTGTTTAATTGTAGTAATCTTATTTGTTTACTTAAAGTATATTAATATTAATGGAATTACAGCATTCAGACATGAAAATTAATTTAATTTCTGGAAATTAAATGTAGATGTCAGTATATTAGAAAACCATTCAAAATCCTAGGACTGAATACATACAAATGAGTAGCAAAAAACACTGGTATTTTAAAATCACTGATATGTGAAAGCCTCAATAATCCCATGGCTAAGGAATCGATAAAACTATATGCCAGATTCTATTACTTTTGAATATTCACAGAGTATGAGTTAGAACATCCCATGAACTCAGTGGCGTTATGGAAAGGATGCAAATTTATAACTGAGAAACTCAAATCTTTTGGGGATTGCTTTATATTAAAACAAAGCTTGTTTGCATAATATGCTTCAGTGTCAAGCTGAGCAATCTATGCTAAAAGTGGTAGCTCCAACTTTAAGGATGGTAGAATAGTTCACATTTGTCTGTTGGATTCAGGATCTAGTTGACAAGTTAAATCACATTTTCAAAGAGCTGCATGGAGCGCATTATGTTTTCATCCTGGAAGGGAGAAACATAGAGCAATTAAATTCACCATATCTGCAAGGGAAAGTACACTATTTTGCCCCTAAGTATTGCCCCCTCCCACCAACCACCTATGCCAAAAGCTCAAATATTAAGTGTTTGCAAACATAAATGCCATTCTATCCGTTTTCCACATAGATCACGATGAAGGAGGAACCATTTTATATTTTGTGGAGTCTATTGACGGCATTAAACCACTTTATTTAAATCTTTACTTGGTATTTAATAGAGGATATTTCTCAAATCATAATGCCAAAATGGAAACTACAGAGGCGCAGAGGTAAGTCAAAGCAAATGAGAATTTTGGCATTCTATGTAGATCACAGGCCAAACCACACAGACTTTTATACAGGTACAAGGAAAATTGTATGTATGAGCCAGCAGTTCATGAAGATTGGAGGCTGGAGTGTAGGAGGCAGGATAGTGGATTAAGAGGGAACATGTTTGCAGTAATCATCTCTCTCTCTCTGCAAGTTATGGCTAAATCTGTGTTGCCTGAAGGAGACTTTAAAAATGAATGGTCTCCATTACAGAGAAAGGATGGTGGAGCAGAAACGACTAGCTCAGTGGCTGTGTTCAGTTTAGCGTATTCTTTAGAAATGAGTTAGAGGACAGACTTTTTGCATTATTGGAGCACTTGTTGGTTGCATGTGAATAGCACTTAGCTGTTTATGGTAGTGGTAAATGGTGGCTGAACCAACAGTGGCTTCCACTGCTAGAAACCAAGTAACATCATCACCACCAAACAGCTTAATGTCACCAAACTAATTCTCTCAAAGACCACCACATTGAAATCCAAGTTGAGAAACAAGCAGACATCCAGAAAGGTAAGAACAACAATTTAAAAAATTTAAAAATACAGAAACAACAGATTTCTTTGTTTTCATGATTATTTGAATTTTTTTTTTTTCGAGGCAGAGTCTATTTCTATTGCCCATCATTCTGGAGTGCAGTAGCACAATCATGCCTCAGCTGGGCTCAAGTGATCCTCCCAAGTAGCTGAGACTTCAGCCATGTACCACCATGCCCAGCTAACTTAATTTTTTTTTTTTTTGTAGAGATGGGGTCTTGCTGTGTTGCCCACATTGGTCTCAAGTTATTTTCCTGCCTCAGCCTCCCAAAGTGCTGGGATTACAGTTGTGAGCTACTGTACCAGGCCTTAACAATTTTTAACTGTGGTTCTACTCACACATCAAGTCAGATAATTCTAAGTAAGCTAACACTGGTTTCTTCGATAACAGGCTACTACCTGCAGTTCTCTTCAGAGAAAATTTTCCACTGTTTCTTTTTTGTGACAGAAGACCATTAGTGAGTTCAGCCAAAGATCCATTTCTTGTCCACATACACTAAAATAATGATTTTTCTCTTAGAAATCAGATAGAAGCTTGGCCTGTTTTGATGCATACTTGGCTATTTAGGAATTCTAATTCTATGGAAATATGATAGATAATATGAGTTATGCTAAGTCTGTGCAAAGAGCAGTTCAAATTCTCATATATGTTTTATCCTCCATGATGAATACTCTCTAAGGAATTGGGGAATCAAAAACACAGTACAGGCTGGGTGTGGTGGCTCACGCCTGTAATCCCAGCACTTTGGGAGGTTGAGGTGGGTGGATCACGAGGTCAGGAGATAGAGACCATGGTTAAACCCTGTCTCCACTAAAAATAAAAAATTAGCCAGGTGCAGTGGCGGGTGCCTGTAGCCCCAGCTACTCGGGAGGCTGAAGCAGGAGAATGGTGTGAACCTGGGAGGCAGAGCTTGCAGTGAGCCGAGATCACAGCACTGCATTCCAGCCTAGGCAACATAGTGAGACTCCATCAAAAAAAAAAAGGACATGTGCAACTTTTGTATCCTCAAAAAGATATGGACGGTTTCCTCCATAGCTTGACTCAGTAGGCACTCTAAATGTTGAGTATGTAATTGGTGCTTGTTTTTAGAGTGTTAGGCTTATGTTGCAGGTTGTAGAAGTGGTAAACTTAGGCATATGATCTCTGTATTTTGCCGAGTTCATGGTAGCTAGCTGCTAATACTCAGTTTTGCTGTTATGATAGCTGAAGTGATAGTTCTTATACTTTCATTACTTACTTTTTGGCAGCTTTCAATGAACTCATCTATGGTAACAACCCCATCTTTATTTTTGTCCATTTTCTGTTCAGGAAGAAAACAAAAAATTATATTTAGACTTATATCCCTTAATACCCTCACCTGCACCAAATGATAAAAAGAAAACCTAGCTGCTTATTTCACATGGAGGAACTGTTTCAGAGCAGAAACCAGTTTGAGATAAAAATGATAGGGCCAAATCCTTCTGGCTGTGCCCTTTTCAATATAATGTGGTGAAGATTTAGAGTCACTCTGTCCTAGGTACAATCCTACCTTTTAGATATGACAGAGCTCGGCCAATTTGCTGAAACTTTCAGAGCTTTCTTTTTGTCTCATCTGTAAAATGGGATTAATGAGGATTTATAGGATTCTTGTAAAAACTGAATGAAAACAAAACTTGTGAAATATGAGAATTGTTTAAATGTTGTATCTTGGATTTGGTGAATGTTCAATGAGTGTAGTTATCAGCATTGCAAATTCAAAACCAAAGCTATTAAATTAATAGGATGGTAAATACTGTTTTGTCTCAGTAAAAATTATTTTCCTTTGCTTTCTTTTGAATCATCATGGTGCTTGGCAAACATCAGGAAATTTTCTCCTAATTTCATTCCCTCTTCATTCCTACCTGAAAAAATGTTTCAACGTGTTGTCTGGGAGCATCTTCTTTGAGGACAGGATATGTACATTTACCCATCATGTCGTATATTGCTTTCATTATATCAAGCATTTCCTGAAAAGTAAAAGGCTTATGTGAGGTTGCACACATGTATGAAGAAACTATTCTAAGAAGCTCTGACAGATTTTTCCTACTCAATGACGACTGTTGGTTGTCCCAAAGGAAAAGCCAACAAACAGCTTTCTGCCTCAAGAGCAGAAGAATCAGATGTGAGAATGAATTCTGATCTCTTGGTTTCAAAATGAAGCAAATTTCCATGTATCTACCATAGTCAGGAAAAGAATATGCTGGTTTAATGTTTGGATTTCTGATTTCTATAGACTTTAAGTAGACCATGCTTATTTAATTGTATTATTATATATCTTATGTGTTGATCATCAGTTTCCATCTATTGAGAGTCAAATATACTGCACACCATATATTGAGAAAAGACACCATTTAGAATTAGTGAAATTAATTGGTAAGTCTTAAAGTTCATTAGGATTTTTGAAGTCACATGTGAAGACCAGTCAAAATATTTTGACCCTGGGAAGCACCTTGAAATTTTGTTAAAACAGTCTAATTTTTGCCATACCATTTTCATTCTTATGAGAGTAAAAATAATGTCTAATAACTTAAACATGTAGATTTTTTGTTGCACATTTGTTTCACATGAAAGCTCTCTCGACTAGGTTGATAATACAGGTATATACTTTTAAGAGTATTCAATTCTATTATAAATGATAAAGTAATTTGTAAACAGGTGAAACCTTTTAAGATGTTTTAAGCATAGATAAGTAGCAAGTAGTTTGTTAGACACAGGCAGAATTCTTGAGATGTGTTAAACATAGAAAGGAATTGAAGAACAAGACATACCTAATACTTCTGAGGTACCTGGGTAATAAATATTCAGGGTATAAAAATATATAAGAAGCACTAACTAGGATATGCTGCATATACATGAACACTAAATAGTCATTGAGGTCTTAATTTGGCACCCAGTGGTGACAGCTATTCTGGCCCCAGGTGTCCTCTGTGCAAGAAACACAAATGAAACTCATGACTACTTATCAGGCTATACTTGTGGCCAGGCACACTTGCACCTGTGTCTCTCCAGTAGCGCAAGTTCATGTCACTGGCTGTTGGCCCCGGGCACCTTTTGTGTGTGGGGTCTCTTGCTCAAAATGCAATTCTGGGGAAGGCTTGTGAGGCAGAGAGAGACAGGACATAGGCACACAGCATGCCCAGGATTCAAGGAGTGTGGTCATTCAACCCCACTTGCATCCTATCCTATGTAGTTAACTTACCCGTCCCTTTACTTCTTGCTGTGTTTTAAACGGGTTTAATAAACTGTAATACGAGTATCTTAATTTGGTCTGTGAGCCTCGTTTCCTGGATAGTCTTCCTCAAAGTGCATTTGGAGACCCCACCATTGCATCAGGTCATTCCACAATCCCCATGATTGTAAAATTGCATTTCCTTATGGATCACATGCTATGGGGAAAAGAAAGGCTTCAGGCTAAATATTGAAACATGGCTTGGATACATTTTCTTTCTGATTCCAACCATGGTCTTAATACTGTGAATGGAATAAAGATGCCAGCAGGAAAAAAGTGTGTAATCTGTATGTGTTACATACTTACTTTGGAGCTTCACCATAAACCATTTCTGTCTATTCCAAATTTTTAATTATACATCTTTCTTCCACTACATAAAATACTTGGGATTTCCTGAGAAAAACTTTTCAAATTAATAATTGCAATTAATATTTTAAAGTTAAGAAATGAAAATCTTCCAAATTATTGCTATGTTGGTGAGGTATCCCCTACCTCTTTAGTGATGTAGCCATCTTTATTTATATCATACAGATTAAATGCCCAATTGAGTTTTTCTTGTACTGTCCCCCGGAGCAAAATGGAAAGACCTTTGATGAAATCCTAAAAAGAAATAAAAATACAATTTTATATGACATTTCTAAAAAAATAAAAATAAAAAAAAGAAAAAGAAATGATGGAAGTAAGGGCTACAACCCTCTGGAATTTGAACCATTTATTTAGCAAAATGATTGATGTGTTATTGGTTGTCTATTTTTCAGACTTCTCTGTGGGCATAAATCACTCGTTAGTCTTAACATTTTCATCTTGTAATTGGAAACTGAGTTAAATCAATGGTAGTACTGGAAATTGTACCAATGGATACCCACACGGCAAGAGGCTTGAGTATAAGTGGTGTTGACTTTCCAGTGCAAGCACACATGATATACTAAAAGAATCTAATAGGTTTTTTTTCTTTTTAAATACAAGTGCACACATAACACACTTCAATGAAAAAACGTTTGCTAATAAGAAATGTGGCTGACCATAAAAGATAAACCACTTGTGGTCTCTAATTAGAAATCCAGTTATAATTTACATGTGGACAGTGGGTAAGAGCATGGAGCTGGAAAGGACAGACTGCCTGGTTTCACCCTCCAGCTGTATTACTGGATGGCTTTGTGTCTTCAGGCAACTTAACATCCCTTTTCCTCAATTTTGGTATCTGTAAAATGGATCTATAATAGTATCTACCTCTTCACAATTTTATGAGGATTGAAAAAGAGGCTGCTTATAATAGTTCCTGCCAAGGACATTGGCTGTGTAGGTTTTTGTTAAGTAAATGGAGCCCTCAGTTTGTATCCTGGTTAAGCTGGTTTGATTGCATTGCAGATTGGCCAGATTAACTTGATTAAATTCATTTATTTTATTTATTTTTTTTGAGATGGAATCTTGCTCTGTTGCCCAGGCTGGAGTGTAGTGGCGTGATCTTAGCTCACTGCAACTTCCACCTCCTACCTCCTGGGTTCAAGCAATTCTTCTGCCTCAGCCTCCCGAGTAGCTGGGACTACAGGCATCCGCTACCATGCCTGGCTAATTTTTGTATTTTTGGTAGAGATGGGGGTTTCACCATATTGGTCAGGCTGGTCTCGAACTCCTGACCTTATGATCTGCCCGCCTTGGCCTCTCAAAGTGCTGGGATTACAGGCATGAGCCACCGTGCCCGGCCAGATTTTTTGTTATTATGTACAGCAGGGTTAACGTTACAATGTGCTGTATTCAGTTTATAATCCAGTTTTAAGTAGGAATGAAAGCAGAGGGGAAATCCAAAAGTCTTCTGGGTGAATTTGCATTATATCTCCCTTTCCCACATTCCCTTATTTTATAGCTGTGTTTCTGTCCGAATTTCTCAAATTGTTTTTTCTTTTTTAAATAAGTAATATCCATATAGTTCAACATTTAAAAATTATGTAAGCCACCTGGTGAAAAACCTTTCTTCCATTCCTGGACCCAGCCACCTGTTCCTTTTACCCATAGACAGCTGGCATAAATAGTTTGTATTTACTTCCAAGGAATTTTTGTGCATATACAAGTATAAGATATATTTGTTTTACTGGCTAACAGACTTCTATACTTTTTTTTCCACTTAACCATAAATCAGGGAAACAATTCAAGTTTCCATTGTGTATGTAAATGCATTATTGTTTATTTAACCAAATTGTTCTTTTACATTTTTTCTGATTGTTATTTCTAGGTATTTTAACCTTTCTGTTGCTGTTGTAAATGAGATATTTTTCTATCATATATTCTAAATTAGTTGTTTGTATGTATGAAAGCTATTGATTTCTGTATAATTTTGTACCCTGTCAATTTGCTGATACCATATGTTGGTTTTCTTCTGGGTTTTCATGTGTGCAATAATATTAGCTGCAAATAGAGTTAATTTTACCTGTTTTCTAATTTTTGTGTTTAACTTTTTCCTAATTATATGGCCTAATATCTATAGAACAATGTTACATCATGTAACTGATAATAGATATTCTTAGTTTTTTCTTGAACTTCAGAATATTTCAATTCGCTTTTAAGCATGATACTTGGTTTTATCATGGTGAAGAATTATACAACCATTCCACTTAGGCAAATTTATCAAGAATGACCACTGACCTTTTTTGGCAAAAATGAAAAATACAAAAGCAGAAATAGTTGTCAAATTCATATTGCAAGGGACCCTGAATAGCCCAGTCAATTTTAAGAAAGAAAAACCAACTTGGAGGACTCACACTACCTAATTTCAAAACAGTATAAAGTTACATTAATCAAAACAGTGGTACTGGCATAAAGACAGATGTATACAACAGTAGAATAGAATTGAGTCTAGATATAAACCCAGCTGTCTGTGGCCAGTTGATTTTTCAATAATGGTGCCAGGACCATTCAATAGCTATGGAAAGAATAGTCTCAATATATGGTGCTGTGGCACCTGGATCACCATACTTAGTCTACTTCCCATTGGCATGCAAGTTAGAATGTCAAGTGAGAGAAGAAGAGAGAAGGCCACAAGGTATTCCAATATTTGGCAGGCACAGAGAGGAGAAGCTGGCAAAGCATCTTGAAAAGAAGTTGCTAAAGAAGTGAGTGAGGAGAGCAGAGCATTTCCATAGGAAAGGATTGTTCATTTTGCTGCCAAGGTTGGAAAAATGTTCATTGGACCAGCAACATGGAGGTCACCAGCAAGTGATAGGGAACGGTCCAGTGGAGTAGGAGTGAAGAGTAATTTTTAATGAGGAGCACTTTGAATACTGAAGAGAAGAATCTAAAAAGAGTAAGAGTCAGAAATGGGCTGATGCTCCTGAGAAGGTGGGGAGGCTCCAGAACGCAGGTAGATGGGCCAACCTCAGAAGGGAGTTGATACAGGAGACAGAAGGACATGGTGTGGATGCCAGTAGCTGCTTTGCAGGTGGGAAGATGACTGCATTTCTGTCTGATAGCTTTAGTGAGTGTGAGCTGTTTGGGAGTGAGGAGCCAGGTAGAAGAGGTATGAATCTGAGGTTTGAGGAGAGAGAGGTGGGAGCTCTGCTACTAGGCAATAAGGTGATGTGCAAATTAGAAAAATGGAGACCTCCCTCAAATTATTTCCCTGCCATATTTTAGAAAATTATTTATGACATATAATGTAGTTTAATTAAAAGGTAATGACAGCCCTTGGAGGTGTAAGTGTACATCTTTCAAAACCAGCAGGCTGGGGATCATGGCTCATGGCTCATGCCTGTAATCCCAGCACTTCGGGTGGTAGAGGTGGGAGGATTGTTTGAGCCCATGAGTTTGAGAGCAGCCTGAGCAACCCAGCCAGATCCAAATTAACAAGAACAACAAATTAACTGGGCGTGGTGATGCACACCTGTTGTCCCAGCTACTTGGGAGGCTGAGACGGGAATTGCTTGAGCCCAGAAGGTTGAGGCTACAGTGAACTAATTGCACCACTGTGCTTCAGCCTGGGTGACAGACCAAGACTCTGTCTCAAAAAAAAAAAAAAAAAAAAAAATTCCTTGGGTTTTTCAGAAGGTATAAAATATACATTGCAGAACACAGAGCCTTATTCATGGAAGATTGCTGAGCAGTTTTGAAAGCTAGATGAGGTTGATGGTTATTAATGTAAACTATTTTTTTTAAATTCACAAAGTAATAATAATATATCATTAATTTTAAGGGGAGCTGGCTACAGGGTCTTTGAAAACATGCTTAGAGTATTGGTTCTCAAAATATAATACGCAACACCTGGGGAGCTTGCTAACAGATTTCTGGGACCTATCCCAAGAATTATGATTCATTAGGTTGGAGTGGGACCCCAAAATTTACATGTTTGATACGTTCCAAGGCGAAGCGTATACTGCTTCCAGGGATCACACTTTGAGAACCACTGGCCTACAGTACTCATCATTGGCGTTGACCTCACCACCACACAAAACAGCAGAGTAACAATGAAAGATTTAAAGAGAGTACTTCTGGGGAATCCCCCCAAGATGGCCAAATAGGAACAGCTCCAGTCTACAGCTCCCAGCGTGAGTGACACAGAAGACGGGTGATTTCTGCATTTCCAACTGAGGTACAAGGTTCATCTCACTGGGACTTGTTGGACAGTGGGTGCAGCCCATGGAGTGTGAGCCGAAGCAGGGTGTGGCATTGCCTCACCCAGGAAGCGCAAGGGGTCAAGGAATTCCCTTTCCTAGCCAAGGGAAGCCGTGACAGATGGTACCTGGAAAATCGGGACACCCTCACCCTATACTGCACTTTTCTATTGCTCTTAGCAAATGGCACACCAGTAGATTATATCCTGCACCTGGCTCGAGACGTTCCCATCCTAATACTGCACTTTTCCAATGGTCTTAGCAAATGCCACACCAGGAGATTATATCCCGCACTTGGCTCGGAGGGTCCCATGCCCACAGAGCCTTGCTCACTGCTAGCACAGTGGTCTAAGATCGAAGTGCAAGGCAGAGCCTCACTCACTGCTAGCACAGCGGTCCAAGATCGAAGTGTAAGGCAGAAGCGAGGCTAGAGGAAGGGCGTCTGCCATTGCTGAGGCTTGACTAGGTAAACAAAGCAGCCTGGAACCTCAAACTAGGTGGAGCCCACTGCAGCTCAAAGAGGCCTGCCTGCCTCTGTAGACTCCACTTCTGGGGGTGGGGCATAGCTGAACAAAAGGCAGCAGAAACTTCTGCAGACTTAAACATCCCTGTCTGACAGCTCTGAAGAGAGTAGTGGCTCTCCCAGCCTGGAGTTTGAGATCTGACAACAGACTGCCTCAGGTGGGTCCCTGACCCCCGAGTAGCCTAACTGGGATACATCTCCCAGTAGGGGCCGACTGACACCTCATACAGCCAGGTGCCCCTGTAAGATGAAGCTTCTAGAGGAAGGATCAGGCAGCAACATTTGCCATTCTGCAATATTTGCTGTTCTGCAGCCTCTGCTGGTGATACCCAGGCAAACAGGGTCTGGAGTGGACCTCCAGCAAACTCCAACAGACATGCAGCTGAGGGTCCTGACTGTTAGAAGGAAAACTAACAGGAATAGCATCAGCATCAACAAAAAGGACATCCACACCAAAACCCCATCTGTAGGTCACC